GAATGCGACTGTGTCGCTAGATGCACTTCTACGACGGAGACTGAAAAGATGACTGCATGCACAGGTGCCATGGCCAGCTCGGGCACGGTCTAAGGCAATGACGAAAGCTTGCTTCACACACGTCTTCCCCCCAGAGTCCAGCTCGACGTGATACATCTTTTCTGTGACGCTGCTGATGGTGCCTTCCGGGGAGGTCGCGCCGGAAGGAAAGTGGCTTGACAGCAAACTTGTCAGCAGAGGGTACAGACGGTCTTAGTTCAAAGTTGAAGCATCATGTAGACCCCTGGTCAATAAACTCACTCCCCTGTATACTGGGTATCGATTCTAGGAGTCCCAACATTATTTATGATTAGGGCTCTGTATTACACAATAACCGAAATGAAATTAAGAGTTATCCGAAATCGATATCTAGTATAGCCGTCAGAGCCGGGATCCTATTAAAGAAAGGAGGAACACCCTCCACCTGCAACGGTCCCGGCCTGTTTGTCCAGAATGACAGCCACTCTCAATCATGACATGGGTCTGTGGCTGCAGCCGCGCAGTGCCCTCCGAGCTGTGAGAGGAGCCTTCACTGACTGGCGCAGTCTTCGAGGCAAGCAGTATGCAGCACAAAACTGGGGAGACCAATCTAGAGCAAACGTCAAAGCGCGACGTGATGATACGCGATGAATGGACCCAAAGCCAGAAGATGTTACACGTATGACAAAGCTCTTGGGAACTACTTTCCAAAAAACGAACCCATCAACCTGGAATGCCCAAAAACTTGGTGTCAACCGTCCATGACGCAGGGGTCAAAGTCAAGGGTCCCTTGCTCACAGGGCCCGTAGTGGCTCATTTCCTGAATCCTCCTAGATGCCATGTTCTTCTGCCGCCTGTAAAGAGACCTCGGCCACCGGCGACTGGAGTCTCTGGGCCAAGCTCCTCAGTGGAAGCCTCAGCTGAAGCCTTAGCAGGAAGCCAGGATAGTAGGTAGTTGGTCGTTAGGTCGGTGGTCAAGTCATGTTAGGCTTAGGTAGGTCAGGTTGGGTCGGGTCGGGTCAGGTCAGGCCAGCTCAGTTTCGGTTGGTGTTAAGGTTCTCTTGAGGCTTCGGTCTACGGTTTGCTAAGGATGGTTAAGTTTCGGTTAAGGTTAAAGTTAACACAGTTCAGGTGAAAATAGGTAGACCGGTGGTGGTTCGTGATTGTCTCGGTCGTCGACGTCCTCTACGACTGGTCGGGGATCTACGCTGGCATACGGGAGAGCAGGAACAGCAAAACCGTACCCGCCTGCGGCTCGCTCTCCCGAGGTTTGACACTCGTCTGCATCAGTTGAACCTGACGACAGCCAGTCTCTTCAAGTTTGGGGACTTGCTGACTATGGGCTTTCGTGCTGGAACACTGGTTGCTGGGTGAACGATCGCGGTCATTAAAGGCTGCAGTGGCCGGCACAGAAAAATCCCGAGGATCCCTTCCTCGATGTTCCTTGAAACAGGCCCGGAGTGAATCAGCGAAAACCGAATGCGCTCTGCGTGCCTTTTTGCCATCATCAAGCTGCACTTCAACCTTCTTGTTCATGACTTTGACAACGTGTCCTGCTAGTGCGAGCCCAGAACGCCTGCTTTTCAACGTTTGCCCCTCGATGCACCGTGTCTACCCTTTCCAAGCCAGCCTCAAGGCATTCTTGAAGGCACACGTGAGAGTAAAACACGAAGTGTCCAAAGCAACTAACCCGAAATCCTGAAGCTAATCATGCCCTGATCATGATGGCTACCTTGGATGCGTAAACTCTTAACCCTAAACCGTCTTGGCCCGTGTCCTGTTCGGCCTTTGTAAGTGCCTCCAACGATGTTCACAGCAGCTGCGGCGCACAAAGAGCCGGTGGTGTCGGCATCACCTGAGCAGTCAGAGAATCAAGTTGCCATGACAGTAAGAATTATAAAAACAGTAATAATAACAATTAACAATAACAATACTAACAATCATAACAATAATAAGAATAAGAAGAACAACAACAAGAGAAAGGAGCCCCATATAATACTTAATATGGCTCCCAAAGCGCACAGGGCCTTGGCACTGAAGCTTACGACCTCACAGGAATCCAACAGAAGCCGTCCCAAAATGGATGTCTGGCGAGCTAAAAAGCACGTACTCTGCGTGAGCTGTGTTTGGACTGAGAGTGGTAAGCCATAATCCACAAGTCACAAGGCCAAGGACACGCGTCGCATGCGCTGAGCTAGATCCTATCTGAGGCCACGGCCTGTCTCGGAATGGAGCTGCTCCGCCATTGCAAGCCGCTGCTGCAAACCAAGCTTCTGTTAGCTCCTCCCTCTGGTCTGGTGGCAACCCTTGACATCGAATCCCAAATAAGTTTTGCTCTCGCAAACGCGTGGCATTTGTGCTGATTAAGCGCCCAATTTGGCAGTCATCTGTACGCATCGAAAATACTCGAGATTGTCAGCTTTACCCCAAAGCCCCAAAGCACAGTAGATACCAGCCATGTTGAAGCCAGCTCCACTCCCCCGCAACAAAAAAAAGTAACGGCAGCACGTGCAGAATTCGCATTGCCATACAAGAAACGACAAATAGCCACCTTGAAGTGCAATTGAGATGAGGGTTTTGGGGTACCTTATACTCTGCTGGTACAAGAAGAAGCTATTCACGCTTCCATAGTAGCACCTTCCAAAACTGCGAACGGCATGGCGTCCAACAAGAGCAAGCAATGATCATGCAACCAAGAACCCTACGATAGCCACATCTGCCACCGTTCAAGTTTGACATTGATGGCGACGATAAAGCCAATCCCTCGGCTGGCCTGTTAATTTGCTACCTTACTAACTTACTAGAGTGTTACTAGAGCGAAGAGAAGCGGTATGCACCCGAAAGTTGCTCACAGAGATTCGGACTCCAAGAATCGTGAGAGCTACATCCTCGGGAGCAAAAACCAGCGTGGTGAATCTCCGGCTGTCACTTACATCGATCTTTTCTACGCCCCTAGCCCCAACTACGGCTCAAAGCTGTCGTCAACGAGCCAAAGATAGCGCGAAGAAACCTCAACCGGAAATCTAGACAGAACTGACAGCAGCTTGCATGTTGAAGCAAGCGTGCTATGACCGTTGTAACGCTGTACTTTTTTGGAAAACTGTTGCGGCTCTCGGACAGAGAAGCGATTTCAAACAGCGGCCTAAGGCTAATGGAACGAAGACACAGGCGAAGGCAGCCCTCCTTGGGAGGATTCCTGCCCTGCCGAGTTGGGAGTTTCCGAAAATTTGGGGGTTAACTTAGGGTTCCTTTAAGGGGCTGCTATGAGGGTACTATAAGGGTTCCTTTAAAGGGCTCTCCATAAGGGTTCAGGGTTTCCGACAATTAGGGGTACCCTATTTTGGGGCCCTTATAATGATCCTACTAGTTAGGGTACTATACTGGGGTCCCCTCTTTTCAGAAACCCCTCAGTTGAAAAGGTCATCCCAAACAAGGTGCCTTGCTGTGCACAGGAGATAGGGGACATGATATACTCGCCGCTGTTCAAGTTTTGAAGTCGGTCTAGCAGCGGGCTGAGCAGCCGGCAGGGGATTGACACCTTCTGAAGGGCTTCTGATCATGGCTTAACGTGGCGTGCCGAAGATGCTCCTGCAATTTTCTGCAGATGACATAAAAGGTGAAACTCTTTTTGTATGCTGTAGCTCGCAAAAGGATATCCCAGAGTCAGTCAGCTGTCAGGCTTTAGCTATGTCCTCACTGGCACCCCTGCATCACAAAACCGGGCCCCAAATTATCCTGCAGGGCTTCCAGCCAAAATTTGTACGAAATTTGCAAGATTAGGGTTTTGGGTTCAGGGTTCAGGGGCTTAGGGTTTCGGCGCTCACTCTCGAACAACCCAGGTAGTATAGGGTTTAGGGGTTTGGGGTTTAGGGCTACCAATATCAGAATCATGTTCAAACTTGCTTCTGACAGTGATGGCGACAGGTTCGCTCCAGCGGTACAGCATGCCTACAACAATATTGCAATCAAAAGCGAAGAGAAGCAGAAACACATGCTGCAGCATGATGTCCATCGGTCAGGCGCAAAGGAGGGCTATAGAAATTCTAGGGCCGCATGGCTCTTCCACCGATGGCACACCTGGGGCGACGAAACGTGCACAAACATCATAAGCCAAGATCTAAGGACGTTCAGGCACGGCAACACCTAACAGCCTCTGGATTATCCCGGAAACTACGCATCGAAGCCCCATGAGGGAGGTTGAGAATTCTGTTGCTTCCCGATGCCGGGCGAACTTCAGATAATTTTGGCATGGTGGCAAACTGAGGCCCCAAAACCCGACTGTACCGTACGGACTGAGCAGACACCGATGAAAAACAGAAAAACATCCAAGAGCCACACAATGATGCAACACAGAGGCCATCTGCCATGATACACCGGCAGGGGGAACACGCGTAACTGCCTCAATAGACTGTATATCTACTAAAGATCACGTGGCCACACAACAAGCACGAGTGGCGCGGGAGCTGGGATCCAAACTTGACATCGGGAACGCATTGATTTTCATGTTGATTGGCGATTTACGTCCTTCAAGACGCTGCATGATGCGACATTCATATCCCTGGTCGGGATGTTGGGATTGGGAGGCGAGGCTATATGCTCCAGGGCAGGGATTGGGGAGTTCGTGATCCATAAGAGCTAAAAGCAAAGGACCGCTCACAGAAATCATAACCGATCGAGTGCACAAGCTCCCAACACCCCCTCAATGAAGCTACTGATTGCAACCGTTTAAGAGCTATGTAGCGATGCACTGCTGGATTTCCACAAAAGTCTTGTAATCTGATAGACAAGGCTTTGCTGATGAGGAGTGGGGCGACAAGAAGCCTTCGGGCTCTGCCAGGTTTCCATTCGGTCGATTGAGCTTTGGGCTCAGACTTCCAGCAAATACAAAGCCTGAATAATTGACTGCTATTCCTTCTCATTTTAAGTAGTAAAGTATGATGTGCCCCCAGAGCCTAATCCAATTATTATGGCCCCTATTAATATTACATGAGACAGCTCTGAATCCTTCGATCCTGACCGACGGCACCAAAACTGAAGAAGGACAAGTCTCCATGCGTGTGGTTGTTGTTCCTCGGTGGCTCACGCTTAAAGGATCATGGGACTGAGCAAGTAAGGCTATAGTAGGTTGTAATTAGGATAACCCTACTTCGAAGACATATAACCCCAATTATAACCTACTTACTATGTCTCATGATACTTTTAAGCGACTTTGCAGGCTTTCGGGATAGTCCCTTTCAAAGGATCCCCTTTCTGCAAGCTTGATGAAGGTTGCAGGCAGGATAGGAACAGCACCACTTTCAAGCAGCATACCAAGACAAACAGCATCAACTAGCGATTCTATGCGACAGCTGTGATAACAAGCATCACGAGCATTTTCAGCGAGGCGCCATGGAGCGTTGAAGTGCATGGCACTGCCACTATGCCTGGGGCAACCGGGAACTGCTCAAGGGACTCTCTGAAACCAATGCATGCCCCAACCATGGCAGGGATACATCCACTTGTAGGTCTTCCGGCCAGTGCACTCCTGGCACCGGACCCACGGATGTTCCAATCAGGGACTGCTTAGCAAGGGAACCCGACAAAACCATACAAAACAGTCGTCCTCCCCGCACGTCTCGTACTTCGAGCGCGAGTCTGTGATGGTTTCACAGAGGATCTGCCGGCTGGAGCCAATGGAGTAGCAAACCTGACACTGCAAAGTTCAGGGCCTTGTGGCCCCAACCTGCTGCAGTCTTATGGGGACCGAGGCACCGTGCCCGTGCACTTCATGAAGCTGCAGGTACAGTTGATGCCGCCCTTCTGCCCGGCACCGTAGATGTCTCGGTGCTGCCTGGAGCTGTGCGATACTCAGATATTTGGGGAGACAAAGCCTGCCGTGGCCACGGCAAACTGCTCACTGAAGAATTATGGAGAAGTTGTGCCAAGCTGCTTATGTGAGGACTTGTGGTTTGGATGAAAGTTGAGCTGGATGGCCGTGACACCTGGGAAAACATGGCCAGGTCAGGTGTGCATTAGAGAGGAACTTCTCGCTCACCTCATACTGCCATATCTCATCTGCGAACCGTGCGGCGGTAGCCATACTCCTGCTCAGTGTGCGCAACCAGCGCGCGGATCCCCTGGCAGGATGAAGATGAAGGTGCGAAACCTGGAAATCCTCTAGCTCCTAGCATTGGAACTCGGATGACCTCGGGGCGAGATTCCTGGAAAGACATAAGAGTAGCTTTTCGAGTAGTTACAAGCACCTTTGAGAAGCTCTCGGAGTAAGAATCTCGGAACTCGAAGAGACTGCAGCCTCGAAGTCCTGAGCATTCTCCGTCTGAGTCTTTGCTACACCATCTACACCACGAGCTCACTCCCAGACTTCACATGGGAGTTTCCGAAAATAGGGGACCCTAATTTAATGTAGTACCCCAAATAGTTAGGTAGGCCCCCCAAATAAGGTGTCCGATGAGACTGCAGCCTCTTGGCAGCAAGCTCTTGCACCCAATGAGCGCCTTGCCCGCAGCACTCTCCTGGTTGTCACGCTCCAACACCCCGACGATCGCAGTCGGCGACTGATTCCTTAGTTGCCGCGAAGTGAGAGCTCTGTCGGACGAAGCCTAAGTACGTTACTGAATGTAAAATCATCCAGTGAAGGCTTCAGGTTCGGAATTGCATCCGCCAATTCAGACAGCAATGTCAAGGTGATTTGATACCGCTGCAAATCCTGGCCTGGCTCCCTCCCCCTCGACATCGAAAGAATGACCGCGGCTCATAGGTTGACGTTTCAACGCGCATCCCCTTCAGCGGACGTTCTTTTCCTTGCCCTGCTGGACTTGTCAGGACACTGCCTGGTAGTATCCGACATGGCCAAGGTTCTAACCACCGCGACCTCCTAAGACGTCCTAAGATTCGTGGAATATCTCCGAAACCCCTCCGAAAAATCGATGAAAAGTCAATTTTCCTGTCGGGCATCCGGTCCTCGTTCGTGAGAAGGAATTTTCCACCTTGCAGGAGTCTTTTAAGGCAACACCCGAATAAACTTTCTGCTGTCTTCCACTTATCCAGACAACGAAGCCCCGACGAACCAGAAATACTGCAGCCTGGATGCGGGGGGCTAAGAAAGACGAGGATTCTGATTTGCCGTGCATCATGATCGTATGACCAACCACCCGGACTACCAAGATCATCACAACGTCATCAATACCCTCCTCCTACTCCATAAAGCGTTTCCTCAGCGAACAACCCGGAGGTAGACCATGATGAAGAAGAGACGAGGAACACTTGGAAATTGAATCAGAGCAGCCATGGAACAGGCAATGATCTCACATAAGCTCATAAACCGTGTATAGACATGTAGTTAATGAAACAGAAAGCATTCCTAGCGCCAAGCCGCCGGACTTCCAAACACAGCCCTCGGGCGCTGCCAGCGCAGCCTTGACCAGGGCCTGCCGAAGCTCGCAAGAGGTTGCGGTTCCAAGGCTGGGGATCTTACTTGAAGGCTCATGGGACTTAGTAAGTAAGGTTATAAGTAGGTTATAACTAGGATAACCCCACTTAGGGGACTTATAACCCCAATTATAACCTACTTACTGAGTCCCATGATCCTCTAAGTACTGTTGCGACAGGCACACTCTCACAAGGCAGGAAAGGCTTCACGAAGTGCGGATAAGATTGACTTAGGCCAAGGCTGCACGACCCACACCCATACATCCAACGAAGAGTACAGATACGAAATAGCACAGAATTCCATTGAAGCATCATCGACAGCTTGGCACGTCCCAGTAACATCACAAAATGTTGATCAAGCAAATAAACTCAATACAGAACGGTGTGGTTTCCTTCTCGCTCTGCCGAGGCCGTGAGGTAAGCAAGATCAACCTTCTTAGAGAAAGAACATCTAGCTGAGTGTGCAGGAAGCCTGCACCCAAATGAAAGGTGCAAAATGCAAGGCTTCTTCTGGACAGACCTAAAGCGACGGATTTGCCAAAATAGACGCGGTTTGATTGGTCTCTCACCCGGGTTTACTCCGTCTGCTGACCGTCTTCAACTTCAATAGACACTCGTCTCAAGGACCCTCTGTTCTCATTGCAGGTTTGCTGTTGACTCAACCCCAAGCTAGGCCATAGTTGATTTAAGATCACCTGGCTGTTAGGGCTCTTGGTTTAGGCTATACAGTCCCCGACCACACAACTTACCTTTGGTTAGTAGGGAATGGCGGAATGGGGTACAACTATAACTACTATTACTACCATTCTTCCATTCCCGACTAACCAAAGGTAAGACAACACGTGCCACGTGTTTGGGGCTTCAGCCTTTAAGGGTTTGGGATTCAGGAAGCGGTGAGGATGTACCAACCAGCTCTTCCTACTTGTCGGGTATCATCGGGAACTAAAGGTTAACCTTGTTGGTTATATAGGGATTATATAGGGACTATACTACCCAAAAAAAGGTTAAGGTTACCTACTCTACTACTAGGTCTTGTGCTTTGTGCGACTGCTAAGCACTGCGAAGCTCGGATCCTTGGTCGCTCAGGTGCTCACACAACATAGATGACTCAATTTATTCAGGAACCTGGTTAGGAAACCTTGGGCCTTTATTGGGGTTTCTTGTATGAATCTCAATATATTTTGAGGGTCATAGGCCCAGGGTTTCTGAATCAGGTTCCTACATTTCCCAAGTGCTATGTTGCCCCACAGCCCAGTGAAAACCGAAGCTTCCTTCTGCTTCGACTCCGGCCATCTTGTGACATTAGGGATGCACTGAGCCCTCGAACTCTTTCCAGCCTAGCGCCCTTTATAGGATCCTTAAGGGAGGGTGGTTCAAGGGGGGAGGGAATAAGGAATCCTTAGGGGACTGTAAGGGAACCTTAGGGAGTACTAGGGAGAATTAGGGATCACTAGGCTATATACCCCCCTTGGACCCCCCTCCCTTAAGGATACTACAAACCTAAACCCTAAACCCTAAACCCTAAACCGTGGGGGCCCCAGCCCTGTCCTGGAAGAGCCATTGGTCCGGCGCGACATGGCCTGGAAACAGCGGCGGACATCCTACTATGGGGGCCTTAGAAAAAATGAGACTGTGGTTTTGGGAGCCCCTTATACGGTTGCGATACTTAAGGAACCACCAAAGCAGTTGTGGTAATTCTAGGAGGATCCCAATCCCCAAACTCCGAGCAGCACGCAACCCCACACTCAGCCATGAACAGGTACCTGATGATACAAATCCTGCATTACCTTAAGGACCCTAACCTATGGGAATAATGGGCATGTTCCTTCTTATGGGTAATGTAGGATTTATCTTATCAACCGTATCGGTATCGAATTCATAGAAAGAGCAACTACGGCAGAAAAGCAAAAGTGAGACTTGTCGGTTCCCCAGGCCAGTCATCGCAGTAGCGGCAATGGGAAAAAGGCAGGTGCAGCGGAAGCGTCATAGCAGAAGTGGGAACAAGATGGAACAATCATGATGAAGAAAATGATGACAATGATCTGCCGATGATGATAGCTGACCATGGTTAGATGATGACGGAATCGAATTATGCTCTGGGACAAGCCAGTAATTACTGCCACCTTGACCGTTTCAATCATCAGAAATGACACAATGATGCTCAGAGATCTAAGCGATGCTAAAACAGAAAGGAAGACTGCAAGTTTCGCATGCAGAATTTGGGTCAAGGAGCCTCTTGAACATTAAAGGCGGGACCGTGACGAATCCTGCAACGCGAAACCCTGGATCCATAAACCGTAAAACCCTAACGGAAAGGCCTGGGGCTACTCCATGAAGCGCATCTGCCACAGAGTCTGACAACACCTGGGCAGGGCTTGATTTCATGTGAGTTGTAGCCGGAAGTGCACTGGTAACAACTACGTCTTACTTGTACGGCGAGTAATAGCAATGACAGCAATTATACTCCTAGCCGCCTTCAGGACAGCAATAATCGCATTAGGAATGCCAGCCACCGCAAAAGTGAGTAACGATTCTCAGGGTTGGTGGAAGTTGGGCTTTGCAGCCTCTAGTTTTAGGACCAGAATTCACCGGGATTGCAAAGCCGTTCTTGCAGAAGCAAGATATTTAAAACACAACAGAAAAAAGAAACGCTACAGCGAACAATCCTAGTTTGAAGCAGCTTCTGATTGATTAATCTTCAAGTCCGACCAAGCACATCAAACCGTGGAACTCAAGCTGATCATCATCATTCACCCCTAAACCCTATATCAAACCCTTTTTTGCAGCTGGGCTCTACAAGGGGTCGAAACTTCCTCCGGCCTCACAGAGCTCCCCTGGCTGTGCAGAGCCCGCATTGCAGGGGCAGTCCTGAGCTTTTTGTGCTAAGATCTGTGTCAGTCTTTAGGGCTTTGTGTTCAAGGTTCTTTGGCTCCCGCAAAGCCTGCATCACTGAGTTAAGTCAGTGAGCCGAGTTGAAAGAGTCGAAGAAATCAGCAGCATCAGGCTGCACAAAAGTGTCTGCGCAAGCCTGAAATCATCCTGCTGAGCATTTCGGGGCTTATCACAAGCCCAGGGTTAGGATTTAGGGGTGTCAGCACATGCAACTGGATTACCCTCATGTCATGTGACCGGTACCATTTCTACTGTGCATCCCACTGCCATGTATGTCGCGCGAAAATATTTCGGGTGATGCCTTCGTTCTTTTCCGACTGTATCGACTGTGCTTCACGACATGTCAATTGTTGAGCCTAGGCTCCGCGGAGCCGTCGCAAAGCTGAACCACCTCCTCAGCCCCGCCTGGTTTCGCAGCAGAGGCTTCTTCACTGTTCCGCTCTAGGGCACCAGGCACTAGTGTCAGAAAGGTTCGGATCAAATTCGTCTGAGGTTTCGGGCTTGAGGTGCAGAGTGTAGGGGTCATACAACTAGTGGTGCAACTCGGCAAGGCCAGACGAGGTCTGAACGAAGCCCAGTACATCGGAGGTTGACTCCTACTTCTACTACTGTGCTACTACGTCTTTTCTCCACTCCTCTTCCTCGTGCTCCCCCTTTCCTGCTGCAACATCTGCTCCCCACTGCTATTGCTGATGCTGCTGCCGCTGCTGCTGCTGCTGTTGCTGCTGCTGCTGCTACTGCTACTGCTACTGCTACTGCTACTGCTACTGCTACTGCTATTGCTACTACTACTACTACTACTACTACTACTACTACTACTACTACTACTACTACTACTACTACTACTACT